AAGATCCCGTACACTTAGGAGGAACTATTTGCCAGTTAGGCTCAGCATCTATTCTTCGATTCACTTTAAAAGTGCATGGACAGCCTGTAATTTCGGTAGTAGATACCGCAGCAGAAGTTACAATCATTTCTGACAAAGTTTATGAATCTCTTAGCAAAAAACCACCCATGAAAAGAAAAGCAACAATGCATGCAGCAGGGCGTGGTATGCACATGGATGCCTTTGTAGTGGGACCAGTTGAATTACAAATTGGTGAAAGAACATATCGGACAGATATTTATGTTGCGCCTATTGATAATGACATGCTATTAGGACTTGATTTTCTAGTCAAAGCAAAAGTAATTTTAGACTGCAGAAAATTAATCTTCTTCATCAATGGAGAGGCACTACCTATGGTACATGGACATATTGGACTGGTACCGCCTGTAAACGTTATAGCAAGAGTAGCTAAAATTACCGTTCCAAATAGAACAGTCATACCTCCTAATTCAGTCGTACAATTAGAGTCAGATTTGTCAGCGGAATTAACTGATTTTATAGTTGAACCTAATAAAGAGATAGATTTGTTAATCCCACGTGGTTATTACAACGCTAGTTCTTTGCCATGTGTCAGTTTACTTAATGTCACGAACAACAAGATAGTTTTGCAAAAGGGAACTCTATTAGGCGAAGCAATTTAAGCTGACGTTGTTGAAACGGGGCCAGCCCCGTCAGTAGCAACAACTGGAATAGCCAGAGATAACAATACACTACCGGAACAGTTGCAGAACATATTGGATAAATCCAGTACACTTGCTGAAGACCAAAAGTCCAAAGTTGCAAATTTACTTCATGAATTTGCTGATGTTTTTGCACTAGATGATTTTGACTTGGGAACATTTAACCACATTGAACACGAGATTGATACAGGTGATGCGCGCCCTATCAAACAACGAATAAGACGAACACCCATGTGTTTTGCACACGAAGAAGAAAACCATTTAAAGAAAATGTTAGATGCAGGTATAATAGAACCATCTATGTCAGAATGGGCATCTGCCCCAGTACTTGTGCGCAAGCGCGATGGCAACGTGCGCTGGTGCATTGATTACCGGAAGTTGAATTCCGTGACGAAAAAAGATGTCTATCCGCTTCCCTTGATAGACGAATGTTTGGACACGTTAGCGGAAAACGAATGGTTTTCAAAATTGGACGCTAATAGTGCATATTATCAGATTAAAGTGAAGGACTCAGACAAGGAAAAGACCGCCTTCATCACTAAATATGGATTATTCCACTTTGTCCGTATGAGTTTTGGACTTTGCAATGCCCCTGGAACATATTCACGAGTAATGAATCTCGTTCTCAGAGGTTTAACATGGAATGTTGTACTCGCCTTCCTGGACGATATTCTAGTAATGGGAAAGACATTTGAAGACCATTTACAGAATTTGAGATCAGTTTTTGAACGTTTCAGAGAGTATGGGCTCAAATTGAAACCCAGGAAATGTGATTTCTTTAAAAAGGAAATAGACTTTTTAGGCAGAACAATCAATAGAGATGGTATGGCAATTGGCAGTGAATATGTTGAAGTTGTTAAGAAATGGAAAGTACCTACGACAACAAGAGAGGTTGAACAATTTCTTGGTTTTGCTAATTATCATAGAACTTTCATTAAGAATTTTGCAGATTTATCCTACCCTTTGTATCAATTGACCGGTAAGAAACCGTACAAATGGGGAGATTCAGAGCAAGAGGCTTTTGACAAACTTGTAGAGGCATTGACAACAACTCCGTTATTGGCATTACCCAACAGTAAAGATCCGTTTATTTTGGACACAGATGCTTCCAATTTCGCAATTGGCGCAGAATTAATACAAGTACAAGATGGTGTAGAGCGTCCCGTTGCCTACGGAAGTTTTTCATTAACCCATGAGCAAAAACGATACTGCACGACACGGAAAGAATTGCTTGCAGTAGTGAAATTCACCAGACATTATAGACATTACCTTTTAGGAAGAGAGTTTATAGTCCGTACAGACCATAGTAGTTTAACGTGGTTATTGCACTTTAAAGAGCCACAAGGACAACTAGCTCGATGGTTAGAGGAGCTAAGCCAGTATCACATGACAGTAAAGCACAGGCCAGGCAAAAGACACCAAAATGCGGACGCATTATCACGTCTGCCAGATTTAGCTTGTTCACAGAATAGATTAGCAGCTGGGAACGTGCTAAAACACAATCTACCCTGTGGAGCATGCGATTATTGTACTCGTGCTCACCAAAGTTGGCTTGGTTTTCAAGAAGACGTAGATAACATTATTCCTTTAGCTTCACATCAAGACTGTAAAACTTTTGAGCAACCACACAATACAGGACCACTTACAGTACTACCGAGTTCTTTGATTTCAGAGAACAAATTAATGAAACAGGACATTACACAACATACAAATGTTATTATAGAGGACAGTGCTACACTAGATAGTTCAATATCACAAGACGGGGACCAGAACGTGACAAGTCACGTGAATGAGAATTTAGGTACATCTCCGGTCCAGCCACAAGTATTTGACAGTACAAATCAAGATACAGTAAGCCAGAACCAAAATGTTTGTCACAGTTCATTGGAAATAGTCACTACACCACTTGGTATGTCAGTTTACGCGACATATTTGGACCTTCCAAATGTAAATGTCATTACTGAGACAGGTATAGAAGCTAGTACTTATTCACCAGAGCAATTACGAGATTATCAGTCTAAAGACCCAGACTTGGAGTTAATACTGGTATGGTTCAGGGACAAAACAGAACCATCAGAGGCTACAATATTCAGATGCAGTCCAATAGCTAAGAAATATTGGATAAACAAAGATATGTTCTACTTAGATGATAATGGAATATTGAGAAATTTGGACAAGAAAGACAGAACACCAAGACTTGTGGTACCAAGAGATCTTGTAGAACAAGTGATATCATTATGTCATGATATTCCTGCTGCAGGTCACCAAGGTATGAATAGGACAACATTGAGAATAAAGGCAAAATATCAATGGTATGGTATGACACAACGAATTAGAGACTTTGTCAAAACATGTAGTACATGCAATTTACACAAGAAGCCAAACAGGAAGGCTAAATGTCCGCTCACCCAGTTTCATGCAGGTGCACCAATGGAGCGTGTCCACTTAGATTTTCTAGGACCACTGCCAGAGACGAAATTTGGGAATGCACATGTACTAGTTATGGTTGATCAGTTTTCCAAATGGATGGAATGTATTCCGTTACCAGCACAAACTGCAGAACATACGGCAAGAGCTGCTGTGAACGAGTTTTTCTCTCGTTTTGGATTCCCATTTCAGGTTTTTACAGACCAAGGACGCAATTTTGAAAGCAAGCTTTTCAAATCCATCTGTGAAATCTTACAAATGCACAAAGCAAGAACTACTCCGTACAGACCATCCTCAAACGGACAAGCAGAACGTTGCAACAGAACCTTAATGGACGCCGTCCGTTGCTTCGTGTCTAAACAACAAGACAATTGGGATGAACACTTGGCACAGTTGGCAGGAGCTGTTCGATCGTCGGTGAACAGAAGTACTGGTTTTACGCCAAACATGCTAATGCTTGGGAGAGAGGTTAACCAGCCTGTTGATTTATTGTACAGCGTACCTGGTGCTAAAATAGACCAGTCACAAGATGAGTATGTGATAAGACTCCGAGATGCCATAACATCTGCACATGAAATAGCGCGCAACACGCTAAAAACTACACAGAATACCATGAAACGTGATTATGATGTACGTATCCTGGAGAGAGAATACAAAAAAGGAGATTTAGTTTATGTTTTAGACACGGCAAAAATTAAAGGTAGAGCGAAGAAATTGGACCCACCTTGGAAAGGTCCAGGACTTGTATGTGCCAAATTATCTTCGTATGTGTACAAGATAAAATTACAAAAAACTGTACTGACAATAAATCATGACCGTTTAAAGCCATGTAAAGACAGAGAAGTACCACCCTGGTTAAAACAGTGCCAGCACCGGTTACAGGACGGTGAAGATGTGACCAAGGCGACTAACCCAGACTTACACTGTTTGTGCAGAAAACCAGATGATGGACTGTTTATGATACAGTGTGATTTTTGCGATGAGTGGTACCATGGAGCTTGTATAGATTTGACACCAGCACTGGCAGACACTATAGTAAAGTTTAGATGTCCACGGTGCCAGGACTCTGGTACCGCAAGGTAATTTAAAATATAAGACAGGATACTATGATGTACATATAGAGCAGAAGGAAATCAGTTGTAAATTTTGATTGGACATTACAGTGAAGATTGTGTGTAATATATATATATCAAGGAATGATATGCTAGTTTTAATAAAACTCCGCAGAGCGACAACGGAGCAATTGTGGAATTTTGAAATATATGCATGTTGTTAATATGTCAACATTGGAATATATATAACTATATATATGGAGATTTATTTGTATCCCCGTGGTGCGACCAGACGGGGTGGACTAAAGAAATATAGTGAATATTCGAATAGGAAGTAAACTCCCTCCTTTCAAAGTGGGGGGGGGGGAGTGTTGTGTAATATGGTATAATGGACGTGACATTACTATGTAGACAGTACGGTAGTTAGATATACCGCGTAGCCCGGTTCCCGGAATGATCCATGGTAAACTACCCAGCTCAGGATAAGATCTCAGATAGTTACCAGGTAACGAGAGTTGGCGTATTGGCGGGAATATAGCGAACGAATTATATATTACCAGAGAGTATCAGAGGATATTTGGTAAGTTAGTACAATTAGAGGCGTTGAATTGTATTAGTAGTATTAGTATTGAGTGATAATACTCGAAAATCACATCAGGTTTCAATATTTGTATTTAAAGAAGAAGGCATGTAACAATATTACTATTTATTATATCAGAATTCAGTAAGTGTTAATTTAGGTAAACCTGCACACACCAAAAGTTATAAATAGAAAGTTGACGTTGTATGTTTCCAATGATGCTGTTGGCTTGTCGTATCGTGTAGCTAATTAAATATGTAGACTTGAGCTACCTTGTATTGATCGCCACACAACAACGAAACAGTCATCAGTACCAAATTATTTTGACGTTGTCTTATTCTTAGGGAGTTTTTAGTTGTTTTCCTAAACAAGCGACGTACTTTGTTAAAGTAAGTGAACATGATATCATTGTTGATATAAAAACCTATTATATTATGCTGGTATGTAGACCAGTATGTAGCGACACCTTTCCGGTTTTGGACGGAAAAGGTGCATGAAAAACTTAACTTATAATGCTTCTGTATTTGTAATTATCCAACTTTTTGTCTGGTAAGTTTTTTCTCATTAGTAAACTCTTGGTATGACATTAGGCAAATGTTTGTTTTAAAATCCTATAAGAAACAAAGAGTAAATATTATTTGAATATCAATTATTTCATTTTGATTTTACAAGATGTATTGTAGAAAGGGATTTGATACTAAATTAATTTTAAGTGGAAAATGAAAGGCAGTTATAATCATTTATTCTTCACGCGTGCAAAAAGCGCGCGTTCTTCTCTATCGATTTATGAGTTTTCGAACAGCGGTATACTACTGTTGCCTTTACTTCTCAGTACATTTTTGATATTGCAAAAATTGATAAAATGGGGGAGTGCTGAGTATTCACATAGCTATTTAATCCCGACAACAATTCACTTTGCCTTCACATGTACAGGAACCTAGTCAGAATTTGTCTTTGGTTATATGTTACAGTTATTTGGTATAAATGAATTTTATGTTTAAAGAAAATTTAGTTAGTCTTTCTACTACATTTATTTTCAACTTGTCTGTTCTCGGGACCGCTTGCTATTTGAATATATATGCTTGCTTATTGTTTGTTGAACTCTATATGTCATTTTTATTGTTTCTTTGGATTTCTACATCTAATTAACGTACAGACTTCAGTACAATTGGCACCTCTTCTTAGTGATACTTAGGAGATAACTGTACTGTATTTTAAGCTCCGACGGCATCAATTGGTGATTTGATGGTCGCAAATTAAGTTTACTGCTACGACGCGTTAGCGGAGCCAATAAACGGGTATTTGCGACCATCAAATCTCCATTCTATTGAAACTGACAGAAAATAACGTCAAATCATACATTTAAAATCTGTCATACGTCGTCTGCGCTTGCGCATACGTTTTCATAGCATCAATTGTGAATTGATGCCATGAAAATTGGTGATGTTATTCAATCAAAATGAACGTTAAAACAATGTTGCATTAGAATTGGAAATGAATAAGTCACTAGTTTGCTTTTATGTGTATTCATATAGCAATTTTAAATTCTTACACATAATACTGCAAAAAAAAAAACAAAGTTATGCATGCCCGTAGTTATCCTCTTATTCTTAACTTGAAACAAACGGTAATTTATTTTATTTTTTAAAGGTATAAGTTACTCAAAGATCTGAAGAAAAAATGGGCACAATAGTGGCCCATTCTAAGGACCGCATCAACCCTTATATAGATTCACTCATTAAAGTGTGTCTTCTTTTCGATTTTTTATCATTCTCTTCTAATTTTCCCGAATTATACGAATACAAAGAAATTGTGTTTCCATTTAGGATAATGAAAGTGAATCCACAATCCATGTCGAACTTTGCTAAAGACCTTTCTTCATTAATTTGATATTCCTAAGTATCTTTAACATGTTTAATTTCTGTATTTTATACTCTGAATGTTTAATGAAAGATCAAAACACTAGTAGTACTCGTTATACTCCGGAAAAGGCTGTCTAATTGGGAAAGTTCAGGTTGTAAGTTTAAAGGATCGATATAGAGTGTATGCTATAACTATTTGATATATGTTAAAAATTGATACTAATTATCTATTCAGGCAACCAAATCATTGGGGGAAAATACTATAGGACAAGTCTGACTATTCTGAGTATGAAATAGTTACCGCTGTATTTGTGACAACACCAATAAACTGAGTATGAAATACTAGTTGATTAAAGTTGATTCTTTTTTGTTTTTGTTGACTAGTATATATTAAACAGATTATCTTTAAGGGGTTTACGCATATAAAACAGTCCTAGTTTACTATGAATATGTAAAATAGGCAGTGTTAACCTCATACAAGAGAATAGTCAGATACGCTGGTAGAAGGATAAAACAGGGTCAAACTCGGTTGGTGTATAACAATTAAAATCATAGAGAAATCATATGATTTGAATAAAAGGAGATGTTGGGTATACGTCATTGAAAGCAATCTAACGACATAGTTATCAAATTAAACACATTTTCGGCCTAAATTGGAGGAGCGTGTTAACCCCCTCTTTCCTTGATCTGCCTTGTCCTTTGAGGAACTTTCAATGATCTGCCATCAACACCAAATACTCCAAGTAAGAAAATATTACGATATTACACAAGAGAACAACTGACGAGATTACCGACTCTGGACAGGCACATGAGAACGTGGTTGGTTGAACTATTTTGATACCGCAAACTTTTTAATATTCGTCAGTGCAAATGGTATATAAGAGAGGAACATACTGCGAGTTCTCTTAGAAAGGTAGATTGTGTCTTCTTTTTTTAAGATGGTTGGTTTTTTTTTTGTGTTTCAATCCCATTTCAGGTGCCTGCAATTCAGTGGTTGACTTTGGTTGCTGTCCGTCGCCAGTTTTCTCCCTTCTATTGTTTCACATTCGTTTATAGCTGACTATACCATATGGGTTTGCTCATTGCTGAATGCCATCGTTGCCCCATAGTCGATAACATCCACGTCATTTGGACTCTAGTTGATAGTTTATATCATTGGTAACCATACTACATCTCCCTATTCTTATTTACAATCAAAACTAGTACTGATATCACTTGACTCTAACGGCAGATTTTCCCTTACGTTTGTCGGTATACATGTTATTGAATTTTATCTCTAAAGTTTTGTTGTACATTAGTTATTCTCTAATCGTTAGTAAGTGAGTAATAGAACACAGTTTAATAGATAATGATATGTTGCGTAACAGTTAACTGGCTAGCAATCAAATACAATAAGTAAGTAGAAGTCTACTGGTTATTTGCGACATCGAAAATTCAGAAGTACAGTTCCACAAGCTTGACTTCTGAAATTGCACCTGCCTGACCTCAAACATTTTACCGAAAGACAGTATTTCTGGCTCCGACTTTTGTGTGCGTGAATTTTAACAAACATTTATATCTGCATTATGTCTTCAACACAGAGAGAAAATCCCGCACCTGAAGGCAGGTTTCAGCTGGTCCCAAAACAAACATAGTTTGCTGCGTTGAAGACCCATTGGTGGCCTTCGGCTGTTGTCTGCTCTTTGGTCGGGTTGTTGTCTCTTTGACATATTCCCCATTTCCATTCTCAATTTTATGTGTACTAGTTCAGTGAAAATGGACGTCACACTAAACTCCAAAACATATAAATGATCTAAAATTTAAAAAAAACATACAAGACTAACAATGGCCAGAGGCTCCTGACTTGGGACAGGCGCAAAAATGCGACGGGGATAAACATGTTTTGTGAGATCTCAACCCTCCCCTATACCTCTAGCCAATGTAGAATAAACAAACACATAGCAATACGCACAGTAAAACTCAGTTTAAAAGAAGTCCGAGTCCGATGTCAGAATAGGTAACAAAAGAAACTAAGCAAAATGACAATGATACATAAATGAACAAAGGATTACTAGTAGTTACTGACATGCCAGCTCCAGGCCTCAATTGAACTGATTGAAAGATTATGTCTTCATCATATGAAAATCAAGCACAATCCCTCCCGTTAGGGATTTAGTATCATACCATCATAAATATATGAGAAGAACATAACCCGTATCATGCCAACAACTGGTTTTAGAATAAATGTGTTTGAGTGAATCAATATTAATTCCAAAATATGCCATCTTTAATAACCTGACAACAGTATCGTAACTATATCCCTTCTGAATAAGTCTGTTTCAAGGTTTGGTTTGCTTTTGAGGTGAATGACGACATTTTTGTGCTTTGTATAGAATATTACCATAAAACACATTTATTCTAAAAACCAGTTGTTGGCATGATACGGGTTATGTTCTTCTCGTATAATTTAAAAAGCATTATACTTAACCCCCAACGGGAGGGATTGTGGTTTGATTTTCATATGATGAAGAAATGATTTTTCGATCAGATTAATTGAGGTCTGAAGCTGGCATGTCAGTAACTGCTAGTAGTCCTTTGTTAATTTATGTTGATCATTGTTATTTTGCCTAGTTTCTTCGGTTACCTATTTTAACATCGGACTCGGACTTCTTTTAAACTGAGTTTTACTGTGCGATTTGCTGTGTGTTTGTTTATGCTACATTGGCTAGGTATAGGGAAGGGTTGAGATCTCACAAAATAGGTTAAACCCCGCTGCATTTAAGCGCCTGTCCCAATTCGGGAACCTCTATCCTTTGTTAGTTCTCTGCGGGTTTTTTTTTAATTTTTGGTTCATTTGTATGTTTCGGAGTTTAGTATGGCGCCCATTTCGCTGAACTAGTGTACATTATTGTCTAAAGGCCAGATGAGGCCCGCCTCCTGGTGCGACATTTTCTCGCTGCGTTGTAGTCCCATTGGTGGCCTTCGGCTGTTTTCTGCTCTTTGGTCGGGTTTTATCTCTTTGACACATTCCCCGTTTCCATTCTCTATTCTATTAAAGCACTGTGTTTTAAAGATTCTGTGGCTGTAAATATCATATTTTTCAACAACCCTGTGATTATATTTACTTTCTCTATCTTATACACGGTCGACCATTTATCTAATCTGAAACTTCCATGCAATGCTCTAAAAAAAAGATAAATTCCATTACACCATAATGAGGAAAGAACATTCTATTAATTATAGCTTAAGTATCTCGACTTTTAGTCAAAACAAATTTGTTTGTCTTTTTGGTTATATATCAAATGCGACTAATCCTGAAGCCATGGTTTGTCTTTTATTGGTCAGCCATGTCTTTCAACTGGCAGAAAAAAACATAATGGTTCAAATGACAGTATAATTTTAATGACGGGACCCTTTGTTCGTATTTAAGTGTTTAATAAACCTAATCTTGAATCATAGAACCAAGAAAAAGAGGTCAAGTCAAATAAAACATGTCGAACGATCATAATATATTAACGCTTCTATTCTATATTGTAGAATAATCATAG